ATATTTGTCATAGTCGACGTCCAGCGACCAATCATTGGCATGGACTTTTTATCTCACTTCAACCTGCTGGTCATTGATGGGGTTACGAATCTTCACACGAATGCCAAATTCCTTCCCTACGACACATCCTGAATCCAAATACTGGAAGACGTCTCTATTTACCAAAAAATCCTTGCCGAGCATCCAGACTTAGTGCGGCCATCAATCACCAACACTAAGATCAAGGAACACAACATCGTACACTTCATCAAAACCAAGGACCCACCTGCGTTCGCCAGACCACGGAGACTCTCGGCAGACAAATTAAAGGCAGCCCGCAAGGAGTTCGAATTTATGCTCCAACAGGGCCTGTGCCGGCCTTCAAAAAGCAGCTGGGCCAGTCCGCTACACCTGACACAGAAAAGGTCTGGAGATTGGAGACCGTATGGTGATTACAGAGCGCTCAACAGCATCACCATTCCGGATAGATACCCAATTCCATTCCTCACTGACTGCAACCATATCCTACATGCTATGAAGATTTTTTCATCGATAGACCTGGTATGCGCTTACCAGCAGATACCTGTGCATGAACTCGACATTCCTAAAAATGCTATCATTACTCCATTTGGCCTGTTCGAATTTCCTTTTATGACTTTCGGACTATGAAATGCAGCCCAAACCTTTCAGCAGTTCATGAATATGGTGCTCACTGGCCTTGACTTCATTTTCTGTTACTTGGACAACATTCTTGTTGCTTCTCCGGACCAAGAAATGCATCAACGACACCTTCGCACCCTCTTCAGCAGGTTAAACGAGTACGGGCTACGCATTAACCCCACTAAGTGTACCCTTGGCACCACGTCTATAGAATTTCTGGGCTATAGGATAATGCCAGAAGGCCTACGGCCGCTACAAGCGAAAGTGGAATGTATCCAAAATTTCTTGCGACCAGAGACAGCTACGGTGCTACGACGGTTCCTTGGAATGATAAACTTTTATCACAGGTTCATCCCAGGATGTGCCACGTTGCAGGTTCCTCTCAACGCCATGTTAAGTGGCCATACCAAAAACAGCACCAAACCCCTCATCTGGTCGGAAGAAGCAAATAGCGCCTTCAACAACATGAAGGACGCCTTAAGCAGGGCTGCCCTCCTCACCCACCCAGTACCGGAGGCCAGGCTTTCCTTAACCACAGACGCATCAGACGTTAGCATTGGAGCCGTCTTACATCAAGAGCTCGACAGCGTTAAACAACCCCTTAGTTTCTTCTCCAGAGCCCTCACAAAGTCTCAAATAAAGTACAGCGCATACAACCGAGAACTCCTAGCCATCTACTCTGCCATCAAGCATTTTCGGCACCTAGTGGAGGGGGGCCATTCGTCATCTATACCGATCACAAACCCCTTACGTTTGCCTTCCTCCAAGATTTGGCCAAAGCGTCGCCTCGTCAACTCCGTCAGTTGGACTATATATCACAGTTTTCAACCAACTTACAGCATATATCTGGCAGGGACAACGTCGTAGCAGACTCCCTGTCCCACATAAATACCATTGGCACACCATTTATAAACTGTGATGCCATCGCAGATGCACAGCAGAACGACGAACTGTCAGAACTACAACAAAACACAAGCTTCAAAATAATAACGATGCACCTTCCAAGCTCATCAAAACCCCTATTCTGCGATGTCTCTACGGGTCGCTGTAGACCATATATACCCCCCCTCTTTTCGACGGGAGGTGTTCTCGGCCACTCACAACTTATCACACCCAGGAGCCCGTACAACAGCCAAACTGGTCACTCAAAGGTACATCTGGCCAAATATGAACAAAGACTGCCAGACATGGGCACTATTTTGCTTGGCCTGCCAAAAGGCGAAAATCCACTGACATACACGTGCACCTCTGGTGAAGTTCCTTGTTCCAAATTCACGATTCGAACACATCCACATCGACATAGTTGGCCCATTACCACTCTCAGAAGGATCAAGGTACCTCCTTACTGTAGTTAACCGGTTTCCAAGTGGGTGGAGGCAACACCCCTGCCAGACCAGACAGCGGACACGGTTGCCAGGGCTTTGATCCGCACATGGGTTGCATGTTTTGGTGTTCCGACAACGGTCACAACGGATCAGGGCAGACAATTTGAAAGCCAGTTGTTCAGATCACTAAGCAACTACCTAGGCTTTCAAATCAACCACACCACGGCCTACCACCCCCAAGCCAACGGACTGATCGAGAGGCAACACCGCACCCTGAAGGCAGCCCTGATAGCGCATCTCCATCAATCAACCCTGTGGACCGAGGCATTGCCGCTCATCCTTCTAGGCCTACGCTCAGCGATCAAAGAAGACATTGGAGCATCCCCAGCTGAGCTGCTGTACGGCACAGTTACCAGGCGAACTGCTGGCGAACTGCAGTACGGCTCCATTACAGTTACCAGGCGAACTGCTGGCGGATTCCCCAGCGATGGAGAAGACAGAGTTCATGCGACAGATGCAACAATTCCTTCGTACGTTAAGACCGCCCCTGACATCCTGACATGGGAAGTGAATGACCTTCGTCTCCGAATGGCTGGCAGACTGTTCGCATGTCTTCATGCTCAATCCTGCGACCCATCCTTCACTTCGACCAGCCTATCTGGGCCCTTACCACGTACGTCGCCACTTCGAAAAGTTTTTCGACATTGACATCGCGGGCTCTTCTAAAAGGGTATCGTTAGACAGACTAAAACCCGCATTCCTTCTAAACGAAGATGCCACTGCTGGAACAAACCCTATAAGCACATCGACTCCATTTGTCAGCCAACACCCAACATCACCCGCCAAGATAACAGGAAGACAAACGTCATCAGGACACGTTATCCGACCACCTGTTTGCTTCCTGGATACGATGCGCTGGACCGCTAGGGGGGAGTGTGTAGGGCAGAGGGCACCACCGCTTGACCTTTTCTCTCTGACCTCACTTCGTTCTCGGACGCCGACTAGGAGAGATGCTTTCAATACGTTGACCTTTCGCTTTTGTTACGCCAATCTTCCGGAATCAACTCCACCAACGAATGCACATTTGTATAGTAATTGAACTTAGGGACCCCTGTAAATATTCATAGTTGTGAATATTTACAGGGTAAGGTATTCCGTCAGAATCAGTGTCCTCCTTGATCACAACAGACGAACAAAGGACGTAGGACACATGGTCGAGACCGAAGCTATTGTCATACGAGGTAGGACCGACTCCGGACCAATTCTATCGAAACACTTCGACGGGTTTTTGGCTGAACCGCCAAAAATGGTAGGATATTCTAATTTGTTATAAAATTTCTTGACAATAGATCTTATGTAAATAACAAATTACTCATATCAAGGTATAACGTGTGACATTAGTTGCATTGTAGATGGTTTTTTGTTATTCATTAAAGATTTCTTATCATTGTTTTTAAAAAATATGAATATATCAAAACTTATTAACACAGAAACATAAATTTATTCAAGTGAGCATAAATACATGAATTTTCTTCTCTTAAAGTTATCAAATATTCTTATGTATTGTACTGTACTGTACGTAAGGATTCTCATATTTTAATATCAAATAATACTGAAAGAAATTTATATTAACAAAAGTATTGTATTTAAAGAATTTAATAATCCTTCAACAACATGAAGGACGCCTTAAGCAGGGCTGCCCTCCTCACCCACCCAGTACCGGAGGCCAGGCTTTCCTTAACCACAGACGCATCAGAGGTTAGCATTGGAGCCGTCTTACATCAAGAGCTCAACAGCGTTAAACAACCCCTTAGTTTCTTCTCCAGAGCCCTCACAAAGTCTCAAATAAAGTACAGCGCATACAACCGAGAACTCCTAGCCATCTACTCTGCCATCAAGCATTTTCGGCACCTAGTGGAGGGGGCCATTCGTCATCTATACCAATCACAAACCCCTTACGTTTGCCTTCCTCCAAGATTTGGCCAAAGCGTCGCCTCGTCAACTCCGTCAGTTGGACTATATATCACAGTTTTCAACCAACTTAAAGCATATATCTGGCAGGGACAACGTCGTAGCAGACTCCCTGTCCCACATAAATACCATTGGCACACCATCTATAAACTGTGATGCCATCGTAGATGCACAGCAGAACGACGAACTGTCAGAACTACAACAAAACACAAGCTTCAAAATAATAACGATGCACCTTCCAAGCTCATCAAAACCCCTATTCTGCGATGTCTCTACGGGTCGCTGTAGACCATATATACCCCCCCTCTTTTCGACGGGAGGTGTTCTCGGCCACTCACAACTTATCACACCCAGGAGCCCGTACAACAGCCAAACTGGTCACTCAAAGGTACATCTGGCCAAATATGAACAAAGACTGCCAGACATGGGCACTATTTTGCTTGGCCTGCCAAAAGGCGAAAATCCACTGACATACACGTGCACCTCTGGTGAAGTTCCTTGTTCCAAATTCACGATTCGAACACATCCACATCGACATAGTTGGCCCATTACCACTCTCAGAAGGATCAAGGTACCTCCTTACTGTAGTTAACCGGTTTCCAAGGTGGGTGGAGGCAACACCCCTGCCAGACCAGACAGCGGACACGGTTGCCAGGGCNTTAATAACTTTTTGGCTTCTCATTCCTATGATTTCTATCAAATTGGTGTTAATACATTTCTATTGCATTGGCAAAAGTGTATTAATGTTGGTTGAAATAATTTTGATTGAATATGTAAGTTTTAAATTAAATTAATAAATGTTCAAAGTCAGAAGTAAAAATTGGCCATTTCATTTGCAATAACGTAACAGTTTGAAATATTAGCAAAATTAAAATTTTATTGTGAGTTAAGAAGTATGAATTGTTAGGATTGATGCATATTTAAAATTCAAAATATTTCAATATTTAAATTTAACATCTGTTTAAGCTTTCAAGGTAATTCTTTTATTATTCATTAAAGTATAAGCTATACTTATTTAAATGTCTTATTATTGGCATTTACATTAGTGGATTAATCTTCTTTTAGTTGCTCAACATGCTAGTGGGGCTTTGACAACTACTGCTCAAACATCATCTCATACATCTGTTGCTACTACTAATGTGGCTCCTGTGCGTCCTATGAATTCTGTCATGGTGACAGTGGATCCATCACGTCATCATGTTGCTCTTCATTCTACTTATGGATCTTCTACTGGTGGTAGGGGACTTTTCTCTTATTGCATTAAGATTAATCTTTTTCTAATGTAGTATTTTGTTTTTACTTCAATATAGACATGCAATTATTGTTTTATTATTAATTCTAATTCTAAGTAAATGTCAAAAAATTTCTGTAAAATATTCATATTGTTTATAAAGTTATTTATAATAAAATAGTTTAATAAATGATAGCTTTGTATATCAGTTATGAATGCTGTTGATCATATAAAAACAATATTATGAAATTATTTTATAATGCTTACACATTGATGGAAAAAAATTTAAAAACAGGCAAAAATTCACTAATTGTAGAAAATTCCTGAATAGCAAGTTATGTTAATCATATTACAGTGACTATAGTTGAAAATGTAAAAAATGAATATTTCTTGGCAGAATTTATTTTAATAATTTTAAAACTACTTTGGAAATGCTGTTTAGTAATTATTTAATAGAATGCAGCTTGAAAAAAGTATAACAATTAACAACAATGAACAAACTATAAGATGGCTTTTCTGACAGACTTTTAAATTGTTTTAGTACAGTTTGTTAGCTGTTAAAGAACAAAGCTTCACATTAAGATGAAGTATTACTTACAACAAAATAAATAGCTCTGTAATTGTAACAAAATTTTACTCTAAACAATCAGAATATATTCACCAAAGTATGCAATAAGATGCTGCAAAAGCTAGAAACAAATGTTTAAATATTGCCAGTGAGCACAGCTGAATGTAAAAGGAATTTTAATAAAATGAATTTAATTTTCATAGAATTGCAGTTCAATAAGTAACTGATTGGTCAAATTGACCAATCAGTTACTTATTGAACTGCAGAGGGAGACAAAAAGAGCATTTGCCCTTTCCTGGAATCAATTAAAACATTTCATAAATTATAAAGTGACTGAGATATGTAACGTTACACCCTTGACTACGGGACACTTTGATTAGTACTGTATTCTATAATCTACTTTTGAAAAGAAAATTAAGTAATTAAATAAAAATTTATTGGTGTAATTATTTGTTTCTAAGTTTTTCCTCTTGTAAAATTCTCTGTAGACACTTATACCATATGTCAAAGCATGGCTAAAATCAGGAAATTGTTGACAATTGACTAGAAACTTCGCTCATTAAAAAAAGATGTCACTACATGTAAAAGTATTATTTATTTAAATATTATTAGATAATTTTCTGGTTTTGTAAACTGTTTTAAAGATATTGAAATAACAAAATTATATACATTTCAACCATTTTTTTACTTTGAATCAATTTTATTACAAGTGCAAGAAAGGTTGGATCTCTCTTGTCCTGAAAGCATATTCCAATACTAAATAGTATGTCATTATAACAGTGGTTCTCAAACTGCGGGACGTATTTCCTTAATTGGATGCAAGGAAAAATCATTATTATGGTTAGGCTTACCATAATATTTTTTTCTCAAACTGGGACAATTTTGAGAAAATACTTGCAACAGAAAATTAGCCTACTAGAATAAGTACTGTACCTATGATTGAAAAGGCTAAATAAAGTAGTTGTTAACAAAAAAAATGAGTTAAAAGCAGTTTTTAATAACTGAACTAAACATATCTTATTATTAATATTTATCACTAATGTGAACTTTTTTAAAAATTCTTTGTCGTATAAATCAGTACATTTAAAATATGACAATACATTTGAGGAAGTTCCTATTGCTTGCCTTATGTTTCACATGTTTCAAATGATTTTTAATGTTTGATTGCCCACCATGAGTTACTGAAAATTCTGAAAAGCACAGTTCATATTTCACTTCGTCAATACGATCACAGACTTTTTTCAATCATCAGTAAACACATGGTTTCTTTTTGGTATTTTAGAGATTAAATGAAGTTTTTTATTCAGCAATGTACTGAGCAGTTGCTAGCGGAAGTGACATTTTTGCTGCTGACAGTTGAAAACACTTTTGCTGGAGAAAGAGCTATCTCAAAATGGCTGATATAAACAATGATTCTCTTTCTGCTATATTTACACGCATTTGTTCAATATTATTAGAAGAAAAGACATTAAGTTTGATGTTATTTATAAGAAAACAAGGAAATGATGATTTATTTATGGCATTGGCGATAATTGATTCCCAACAACAAAGAAAGCATTCAAAAATTGTTGGTTACATTCACAATATTGTACTGCAGTATTTGAATGAAATCTTTAAAAGCCATTTTCATATGTCACGATTAAAAATCTGCTCATTTAAAACAGCAAAAAACTGATTATTATTTGGTTGTCAAAAAACATGCTTTCTCATGGTGGCATCCATCTTGTAAGCACTATTTTTATCGTGGTCAAGAGGTCTGCTAGTGTGCTGAAAACTCACCTTAAGCGTGCTGACAGTAGGCTTAATAATTGAACACATGCGCTAAAAGTGCTGCAAGCATGCTGAATAAAAGAATGCATGGATATTGTACGAAATAATTGCAAATGCTGATCAGCAATTTGAACTTGACTATGATATGACATACGCAGCAATGATGTGCCAATGTAAGTTTCAGTCTTGCCAACTGTAATTGAAACAAAATATCTAAAAAAATGAAATAAAAATATCTGGATCTCATAGACTACATGCTATTATAAATTCTGTGAAAAAATATCTGAATGACAAAATAAAACATCTAAATTCATTAGGCCATATGGTATAAATTTTTGAGGAAAACATATAGACAACATTAAAAGTACTTAGATTAGATATGAAATATTTAGATTGGCAACAGTGAGTGTAACAGAGGGGTAAGTGCCAAATCGCCATTTTACTTGAGGCTGCACTATTTCTACTTCTTATATATTCAGCACTTTTAAAATTTTACCAAATAACCAGGACAAAATGACAAACTGACCGGGACGCTGGGACAACATTGTCAAAACAGGACATCTGGTAAGCCTAATTATGGTTATGACTACAGTCCAGTTGTTACATCATCAAAATTTGATTTCATTTAGTGGTTAGTATTTCTGTGTGTTATTTTTATTTTTTGTTCAAATATAATTGTGTACTATTAAAACACTGTAAGTAAATTTTAGAATGTATTTTATTCTAATAAAACTAAAAAAATATAAGTTGCTAGTTTTTCAAGAAAAGTATGAGGGAGGATGTAAGAATCTTTACATAAGAAAAGTTTTAAAAAAGTTTGAGAACCACACCTCATTAAAGTAATGTGTGTAATCTTTAGGATGATGTTTTAGCTGCATTTGTGTGGATATATACTGTACATTTTTGTATTATCTATGTATATAAAAATGCAATAATATATATATATATATATATTATTGCATTTTTATATACATAGATAATACAAAAATGTACAGTATATATCCACACAAATGCAGCTAAAACATCATCCTAAAGATTACACACATTACTTTAATGAGGTGTGGTTCTCAAACTTTTTTAAAACTTTTCTTATGTAAAGATTCTTACATCCTCCCTCATACTTTTCTTGAAAAACTAGCAACTTATATTTTTTTAGTTTTATTAGAATAAAATACATTCTAAAATTTACTTACAGTGTTTTAATAGTACACAATTATATTTGAACAAAAAATAAAAATAACACACAGAAATACTAACCACTAAATGAAATCAAATTTTGATGATGTAACAACTGGACTGTAGTCATAACCATAATTAGGCTTACCAGATGTCCTGTTTTGACAATGTTGTCCCAGCGTCCCGGTCAGTTTGTCATTTTGTCCTGGTTATTTGGTAAAATTTTAAAAGTGCTGAATATATAAGAAGTAGAAATAGTGCAGCCTCAAGTAAAATGGCGATTTGGCACTTACCCCTCTGTTACACTCACTGTTGCCAATCTAAATATTTCATATCTAATCTAAGTACTTTTAATGTTGTCTATATGTTTTCCTCAAAAATTTATACCATATGGCCTAATGAATTTAGATGTTTTATTTTGTCATTCAGATATTTTTTCACAGAATTTATAATAGCATGTAGTCTATGAGATCCAGATATTTTTATTTCATTTTTTTAGATATTTTGTTTCAATTACAGTTGGCAAGACTGAAACTTACATTGGCACATCATTGCTGCGTATGTCATATCATAGTCAAGTTCAAATTGCTGATCAGCATTTGCAATTATTTCGTACAATATCCATGCATTCTTTTATTCAGCATGCTTGCAGCACTTTTAGCGCATGTGTTCAATTATTAAGCCTACTGTCAGCACGCTTAAGGTGAGTTTTCAGCACACTAGCAGACCTCTTGACCACGATAAAAATAGTGCTTACAAGATGGATGCCACCATGAGAAAGCATGTTTTTTGACAACCAAATAATAATCAGTTTTTTGCTGTTTTAAATGAGCAGATTTTTAATCGTGACATATGAAAATGGCTTTTAAAGATTTCATTCAAATACTGCAGTACAATATTGTGAATGTAACCAACAATTTTTGAATGCTTTCTTTGTTGTTGGGAATCAATTATCGCCAATGCCATAAATAAATCATCATTTCCTTGTTTTCTTATAAATAACATCAAACTTAATGTCTTTTCTTCTAATAATATTGAACAAATGCGTGTAAATATAGCAGAAAGAGAATCATTGTTTATATCAGCCATTTTGAGATAGCTCTTTCTCNGATTTAATTATAGTAACTCTTAGTTTTATCCAGTCTTATTTATATGTTATACAGTGGAACTTACATAACTTGAATTCATTTTTTTCCCTCAATTGTCTAGCATAGGGATGTTAAATCAAGCTGTTTAACTGGAGTGAGGTATTGATACAATATTATTATAAACTCTCCAGAATTTTAATTTAACTCAAATAATTAACATTCATCTATCAAATAAACTAATCAGAAAGTGTGGGAACCACACACAACTAAAAATAAACATCATGTCATATGACAGTGAGCATGGGTGGATGCTTCCAGACAGCATTTGTGACCTAGATACTGTAACTACCATTCAAACCTGCTTTTTTTCCAAACACTTTTTTTTTTATTTGATTGCTGGTGGATTTCTCTGATTAGCTGATATAATAAATAAATTAATTTTTTAAAATGTTTATAGTCTGATTCTATAAAAATTTTAAAAATACATCAGTCATAAAGAATGGTATGTTTGTGAAAAAAAAAAAAATGCATCAATTCTAGGCACAAAATATTGAAATTTAAAAAAAAATTTACTAAACATTTAGGAATGAACAGATCAATCATTCAGGAAAGCATTTCTCATATCTTATTTAACCATTCAGTTAAGTGTTTTCAAGTTTCCAAACAACACTGAGAGGCTTGAATTGACACAACAAATCTACTTAATAAGACCCAGGAAAATATCATATGGATAGTTTATTATGTTAATCAATAAACCAATACACAAAATCTTGATGTTTACCTGAACCTCCTTAACTTGAAACTTTTTAACCTCAAAGTTCAGATTTTTTCTCCCCAACCAATTTGAGTTAATCAAGTTCCACTGTATTATGAAATAGAGAAAAATTATAATCTTGTTAAAATAGATTTTTTTTTTTTAAATATAATAGAAAACTAAAGTTTTTAATTTTTATATAGCTGGACTCTCTTCTTCTGATACTGGCAATAATCAAGTAACTTCTTCTGGGCCTACAATGTATACAGTTACTAATAATGGAAATCAAAATGTTGGATTAATAACACCAGGATATGGTTCTCAACAAGGTCAGGGATCATTACCAAATCATAGTACTTCACCCAGACCAAGTATTTTGAGGAAAAGAGCTTGTGATGGGTAAATATTTTAGCTTTTTTATTTGTGATAATTGGTGTTAATATCAACACATTTGTAAGCTGTAGTACACAATATAAATCAAAACTATTATTTAAGACTAAAGTAGTGTAGCACATATTTTTTTTAGTAAAATTAGAATTGCTTTAAAATGAAAAAAACTTATTACAATAATGTGCAATGCTATATTTTCATTTTTGATATTTATTAAAATTATATTTGAAATCTTTAGTTGATAATAAGTAATAAATATATAAACAAATCTATTGATTATATAGATTCATTCAACATTATATTTTCTGCACTTTATTACACACAGTTAAAATGAATTATCACATTGCCAAATATTGATAGAACAATTGTAAGAGCATAAATTTGAACCACCAATCTTAAAGCTGATTATAATTTCTTTGTTTGTGTACAGTACATAATTTTCTGCAGATGAAGTTTAAAATATAATACTTTTTCTATGGAAAAATTTATCTGAAGTCTAAAAACAAAAGTTGCTAGATTCTAAATTTCTTTTTTGTATTAGAATTCTATTTAATTCTTCCGTAAATGTAAGGTTCAAAATCAGATTTATTAATTTTTGTACTTTTAAAATGGTTTATCATGGGGGATTTCAAAAATTCTCAAAATAAAACTCTTTTAATAATAATTTTATTAACAGGTTATTTCTACATTTTGAAGGTATCTACCTTTTCCAGAAGTTTTATTAAAAAATAATTTAGGTTGATATTCAAAATGTTAAAATGATATATATTGAAAAATCCAATAAATAACTATAAACATTTCAGATATAATCAGATATAACAGTAGAATCTTTAAAAGAGAGAAACAAGTTATTTACAAGTTATTCATGCATAATATTAAATACAAATAATGTGTTAATGTTAATAAACATGATTACTTTAATGCATAATCATTTTTTAAACACGTTGCCACATTTCTACATGTGCTATCACTCTGCGGTGAGGGTGATGTTGCCGTTCAGTGTGGCACATGCTACACCCCCTCTCTACACTGCACTGCCTGCCCTTTTACCTCTGCTGTCTAATTGCCAGTTTACTTTCCACTCTCGCTAAATAAAGTATCTTTGCGCTAAATGAAATAAGTAACTCCTCTCCTAGTCCTGGTGCATAATTCTAATTTATGGTTGGTTGTGACGTCAATGAATCATGTGACGGAATGATCTCAGTTTAAGTCTATGGAGAGATGCAGCCTTGCGGCTTGTCCACGAAACCTAATTTATAAACTGGTCATAAAAGCTCTCAGTAGAAGAGAGTCGAGTTTGATACCTGCTGACACAACCCTGAAATTTGTCTTAGACAAACTAAAAAGCCAGGACACAATCTTGAGTGCCGACCTTTCCGAGGCACTCCACGAAAGAATCAGAGAACGGCATCGTATCGAGGTCACAGGGATGCTGATTTACATACAGAACCCAAAATTGAAACCCGAAACTTAATCATACATAACTTAATCGGGTTACATACAGAAACCCGAAAAATAATCAGGCTTTCTAACTTTTTGGTTATACAGAAGTATAACCAAAAAGTTAGAAAGCCCGATTATTCTTTCACAATACCGAAAAAAATGTAATGCGCCAGGAGATGAAAAATATGCTGAATTGAGTAAATACATATGTAGTGGAACCAACAGCAATGGCTGAGGATATTATGGAAACAGAAAACGATGATCCAGATAACCCGCATTCATTCCCTGAATTTCACATTGGAACAAGAATCAGAGATCCAACTAAAGCGTGAGAAAGAAAACTTCATGAAACGAAAAGAAACTAGTACTGAGAAGGATTATGATGAGTTATTAAAAAAGGAAATGGCTGTTTATGAACATGAGGGAGTCAAAGATAAAAACTTATCTTTGATTTATGATTATTTGATGACCCTGAAACCAACTAGTGTAGAGGCAGAAAGAGCCTTCTCTGCAGCGGGATATATATGCAGTTCATTAAGAAGTAGATTGGGGGACAACACCATCAATACCATTTGTTTCTTGAGATCCTATTTTTATAAAAGTCAAAAAAAAATAGTGATTGATTTAATTTTATTTAATGCTTTAAAATACTTTATTCAAGACAAGACTAATATTTTATAACTTATATTCTAATTGTATTAAGTAAGAGTTTTAAACTTTTATTGTATAAGTGGTTAGTGGGCTAGGCTAAGCAATTTTATTGTTAAAATTAGCTAGAAACTGAGACTACCTAGTTAAATAGTTAATTAAATTAATGAGTATCAGTATCTTAGATATATGATGATATGAATGTACAGTAGACCCCCCTATAACACTTAGATACGTTCCACGCTAATCGAATTTTACGTTATAGGAACGATTAAATACATGATCTAATCGCAGCCCGATAGGAGGGAACTTTATGGACTAAGGCTGTTCGAAAGGTTTTCTTCTATAAAATTAACCGATTCTAGACTAATTCAACTCAACATTTCCAAAACACGTATAATTTTTTGGGAGTAATCTGTATAAACTATGCTATAAACAAAAAATTATAGGATTACTTACCGAGTGTGTACCGTTCGACTACGCCGTTGCTTAAAGCTGGTTTTCATCGCGGNTCGAACAGGTCAAAAAATCCCCAAGAATTTTTCGGGATCCAGATATGTCAGGCCCTGTCCCTCACCACCGTGCTGCTCCATTATGGGCCTGTCTGAACTTATTAATGGGCTTGCTAAAAGAGGCCCTCTTAGTGCCCACAGGGCAGAAAGAGTTTAAAAAAAGCCAAACAATTCCGTTGCTTTCCTTTCCTTTTAGTTCCATCATGGGACTAAAGAAAGTTTCCAGAACCAGCAGCTCTTCGAATGCCATATTAAATGTTCATTTATTCATTATATTAATGTTTTATATTCATTTTATATTAAATTCTTATTGTTTTTAGTATTAAACACTATATTTATTCTCTATAAAATGTGTTTTTGGTATTTATTTTGGAGTGTCTAGAACTAATTAATTGGATTTACATTGATTCATATGGAAATAATTGCCTTGGTTTTTGTTGGTTTTGGATTTCACCAATTGTTTTTGATTGGATTATTGATGAAAACAGAGGTATCACTGTACTGAGAGTACTTCATAATTGTGGATCTTTGTGGACAAATTATGTAGATGTGAAAATAAGTTATGAAATTAATCACTTATCAGACTTGTTATAACAGTTTAAATCATTTACATAGCTACTTAATGTTTCTAATAATCTATTAGTATTCCAATTTAAATGTTGGTTGATTTTAATTTATTAAAAATCACACTATAATAATTTTTAAATTAGAAATATAGAAACTAATATTGATGATCTGTTTTTTTAAATTTATTCATATCCAGTATATATAGATCTTTTATTACAGCTTTCTGGAAATGGAATGTAATTTATTGAATATTTCCAGAAAGTTACAATAAGAATTTTTATGCTTTAAATTTTGAATTTTAATTGTTGAGTACTAATGCAAAATTAAATCTACATTAAAAGTAAATTTAAACTTGGTTTGCTGTTAATTTTCTAACTAGTGACTCTATATTGTATCAATATATTTTTTTTCACATTAGCTTAGTCCTTCAATAATGCATTAAATTCATTTTCAGCCAACTAACTACAGTGTGTGATCGGTTAATGAACAGTTTGGACTGTGAACAAATCGGACAACGAACACTTTTGCGAAAGATTTTTATGTTCGGATAACGAACACCTCACATAACAAACAGAAGAAGAAGCAACATAAAACAGTGAATACCAATTGGTCTTCCCCTTTCTCCAGGTGACAATTTGAAACTTTTTGGAACTCGGGAGACGTCGACGTCAACACTCAATCCAAAACTGATTGGACAGTATTCCTTTGAACTTTGAAACGCTCCATTGTAAATCCAATGTTTTGTTTACCCTTTTGGCAAAGAATTTTTTTATAGTCTTCATGAGTCTGTCTGGTGGGCATGCATTAAGTTTTGTGTCTGTTTTTATTTTCAAAAGGCAAAAGTTTAACTTCCTGTAGGATATTCATTAACGTTATAACACACAGGCCTCGGAGTCACTCACTTTTCTCAATTTTTTGAAGTATCCTCACTTTTCTCACCTTTCAGGTCATTTTCTTACCTTTTTTGGTCATTTTCACATGCTCAATTAAGATGTGGGACCAATCAAAAATAATTTTAAAGCCAAATGATTTGCCAAATTATTGGACTATCCGACTAGAATTTTCTGGAAGAAAATACTTGGCATGAGCAGGACTTAAAAAAAACTGCAACTTCCTCTTAGTGTTGTTAGGTTATAGGAAACAAAAATTCCTTTCATAGATGTAGAAAGTCTTTCTTGCATTTAAAAAATCTCTCTCATTACAAATTCAGAAGCCAATATTGAGTAAAGTTACGTACTCATGCCATATTGTCATTATTAGCCAAGAGAGCCAATTATTCAGAGTTGCATTTCTATCTAAAGAGATTAAAAATAAGTATTTTAAGCATCCCTACATTTTAAGCATCCCTAGTATTTTAAGCATCCCTACATTAAGCATCCCTACAAGCCTTTAAGCAAGGCTGTTTTATAAGAAAATCCCTTTGTAGGGGAAAACACACTATGCCAAGGGATTAATCTCTCAAGCTGACAACACTGCTGCCACTTCTAAATTTAAAATATATTATAATTATTAAAATTAACATGAGATAGTGGCGTAACCTCTAGACAAATTATTTCATTTCTGACCATTTAATTATTCTTTTTATAGCCCAATAATTTGGCAGATCATTTGGTTTTAATTAACAATTGGGTTATGGAGTTGTCATTTACAAGAATTTTTTTTACTTTATTTATCTTTAAATAATTTAATAAACTTGAGTTAAATCGAATAAAGTTATTTTAATGATTTCATAGCATATTGTTAATGTTTAATCATATCTATATATTCCTAAATGTATGTGTAAATTGACTACAAGTATAATTATTCCACGTAGTTATTTTCACAAAATGTAAGATTACT